GCAGCTGATAGATGGTGACCAGGACGGTACTTCCTGCAGGGATGAGGTGCTTTAGTTTGCTGTCTTTGCTGGTCACTGTCAGGTCGGAGCTGAGTGATCGACCAATTAGGGGAACGGCGGGAAAGAGGCGAAGCGTCTCTTTGACCACTGCTTCCAGGTACTTTAGCTTCTTGATCTGAACTGAAGTAAGATTAGGGGGATTTTCAAGTCCTTCCTCTGCCCAAAAAGCGTCCAGCTCTGCATGTAATTTCTCTTGAACTTTGGGATTGTTGGCCAGAAGAAGTAGCGCCGTGGTCATCGTCAGTGCCGAGGTCTCATGGCCGGCGGCCATGAAGGTCTCCACCTCCTCCTGAAGAGCACTGTCAGGCCAAAGTTGAGGCTGCTCAAAGTGCTGCCGGAGGAGGTTGTCAAGAAAGGAGGTCCTCTGCTTGGTGTTGCAAAAATGGTCCTCATCTTCCTCTTTAGTTAACTTCTTTTCAAAACCCTTTCCGCCTACTTCCGCTTCAGCCTTCCGCTCTGCAATCACCCCTCGGCTGAAGGCCCTCAGCACGGCTAGGTCCGCCTGTTCTTGGCGACCTCGAGCGGAAAAACGATAGTACAAAGAAGACTTCCACCACCAAGGCTGGTGCATCCGCTTCATCGCATTCCGACTGACGGCGTTCAGCGAGCGGACGTAGGGCGTGTCAGAGTGTGTTTGAGAATGCAAACGGACTCCCATGGCCGTTTCTACAAAAAACACGAGATTTTTAAAAATCATAAAATTTAAAACTTTGTTCCGTTCACCTACCCATTATTATGTCCAGAGCGGCGTAGGTAAGCAGTGGGACCATGTTCAGGATGGTGCCCTCTTCGCGTTTTGAGGATTCTGCTAGGATTTNAGCGGCGTAGGTAAGCAGTGGGACCATGTTCAGGATGGTGCCCTCTTCGCGTTTTGAGGATTCTGCTAGGATTTTTTGATGGATCTGATCAACGAGGATGGCTGCCTGCTCGTTCATCACGCGCAAGTACGTCTCGAGGATAGTAAAATGGAACGCCGGTTGGATCGTCTTTCGACGATGGGCCCATT